TCACTACGCAAAAAATAGGAGATTACAAGTTTCAGTCCCTCACTCTCTTTCTCTGCGATTCTCAATGTCTCAAAATCTCTCCCCACTCCAAACCTAAACACCCTTATATATCAAACTACAAGTGAGAACTAATTAGGGTCCACAACCCACAAGCAAAAAAAAATGGGTCAAAATTTTTTCTTGCACCAAATTCAGGCCACAACATCACATCCTCCAAATACATTTTATATATTAGACTTATTAGTATATATATTTTTGTGCCGATTATTGTCAAGTATGTTTCACAAGTAGCAGCTAAGGTTAATAGAATCCAACTAGGTGCTGACTTTAGTATCATGTATCAGCTCAAGTTCAGCAACTGTTCCTAGATCTGACTCCCTTATCGAAAAACCAATGTTATATGCACAACAAGTCATTGTTCTTACTGAGATTTGTTATCACTGTCATTGTTCTTACTGAGATTTGTTATCACTGGTATGTTAATCTCAACAGTAACCTTGCAAACAAAAGTTATTGTTTGATGACAATTCAGCAATATACTACAAAACTACACATACATACTTGTGTGTACATATATACAATTCAGCCATATAACAAAGAAATGCTATACTATTTCAATATTTCTATACTTAAATGCATACTAATTGTCGTGGTTTTTTTAAAAAAAAAAAAGTTGATAAATAGCAGTATCATATCAATCAGACTTTAAATTTTAAAATATATATATATTTAATGATTTAAATTTTGTTAGTATAAAATTCGTGTGTAAGAAATTTTACCTTGAAGGAGTGATGGTACAATGGGCTCGATCTTTAGCTTGAAGTAATGGTTGTGATCTCCTGTTTCGCCACGGCTGAACGAGAGATGTACGAAGAAGAGATGAAACCCTAGAGGAAGCCCATCAGCACTGCACCATGGAAATACAGAGCGGCTCTGTATTTCTTCGCTAATCTGATTACCTTTCTTATCATTCGTCTGCAGATGAGAGGGGAATGGAGACTCGAGAGAGCTGATCAGCTCGAAGAAAAAAGCCTCGAGATACACTGGATATTTTTTTTTTTAATTTTTTTTTTTGGGGAATTCAAGGGAGATGGGCTACAATAAACATATTATATTTCAAACAATATATGGCTAATGGGGCTAATTTAAAAGGACCTTGTTCACAATCGTAAAGAGTCGAGACTTGAGAGCACGGGCTCCTCTATTTTTTTTTTTTTATTATTATTTAATTATATCAATAAATAAATCATACAAACTCATGTTGTTGCGGTTGAATTTTTTATTTTTATATTTATATTAAAAGATAAAATCGTAAAAATCCATGTTGTTGCGTTTATACTCAACCGGACACAGGAGTGGCAAATTACGATACGTTCCGCCAACAAGACTTGAACACAATACGAGATAAGCGAGTTTGGGTTGATCATAAATGGGTTTAGATTATAAACGGGTTGACATGATTAATCCGTTTACTAATCCGTATCGGGTTAGAGTTGGGGGGGTTTAATACGCGTTATCCGTTTAAATCAACATATCACAATCATAAATATGTTACCTATTTAAACTCAATTACTATAGATAGTTAAGTGATTTTAACATAAATTTTAATTACACCTTATGATTTTTTTTTAATATTTATTATTTGATTGAATATTAAATATCTCATTTTGATAAATAGGCTAATAAACGATTAACATGTTTATTCCTGACATAATTATTAAATGAGTTGAATTTAAATTTACTTATTTAGTAAAATATTCTTACATTAACACCATATAATTATAACTCTTGAGTACAAATTGCCACCACTATCGACAACCCCACACCATTGAAAAGGCAGTATTATAAAATCTTTGTTTAGTCCAAAGTACTAGTACTGCATTTAATGATATGTAAAACACGAATTGATTGAACCAAACCTGTTGAAATCATACCCATGACAACAAGAACACCTTCAAAAAAAAAAAAACATTATAAAACCATAATTTTGTCCAAACTACTAGCTGACAAATACATTGGGGTCTGTCTATGCGGACAACATTTGTCGATCAAAGCTCAAACCAACTTAAGCTCAATGGACAACTTCGGACAGAACAGTGAAGGACATCCATTCGAACAAAGAAACTTAGAGCTTGGAAACCTCCCAAAAATGACAACTTCTAACCCAAGTACAATATTACTATGAGAGATCCAAAAATAACCTTGAAGATATGGATAATTCCAAAGATTTGGTCGTCCAACATAGAGCAAAGAAAAGAGTTGGTGGTTTTGGTTCCAAGTCTCTCTCACAGGAAATAATAAGAGTCGAAATAATAAGAGTCTTGATCCAAGAGCTCTTTTTGTTCTAAAATAGATGGAATCGTAACTTATAAAATTTTAAACCTATTTTGGGTTGAAGGGAATATCATTTTTTACATTAAAATTTTCATTAAGAAAGAGAGAGAAAGAAATTCAATCAGTAAGGTGTATAAATCCTCGTACCCATTTTTGGTAAATGAGTATGAAAGGTGTGGTAAAAGCATTGATCACTCCTGTTCCTCCTCGGAATATAGAAACAAGTATACCAAAATTGTGCAAGTTAAACATGCCAGTTAGCCTATAATTCAATTCAAATGGACTACACAAAAGTTAAAATTTTAATTTTAAAATAATAATCAACAGCATTTTAATTTAAAATTAAATAAGAATATCAAATTTTTTTTATTTCACAATTCGGGATATAAGTAACATGATAATTTTTGTTAGCTCTGTAATTGTATCACTCTGTGTGGGTTATATAATAGTGTTTTATTCTTTTATCTTTTAAAATCAAATTCAAGTAGAGCTCTCAAATTCAAAGAGCACAATTTAGAGGTGGCAATTCGTGTTTGTTGGTCATCACGTATCGTGTTAATGTAGGGGTATTCTACTAAACAGATAAATTAAAACCCAACTCAATTAATAATCGTGTCAAAAACTCTCAACACTAACCCAACCTGTTTATTAAATGAGTTAATGACCTGTTTAGGTTGTCTAACAAAATGAGACATTTAATATTTAATCAAATAATAAATACTAGAAAAAATTTATCACAATTAACCTAAATATTCAAAATAAGATGGAAAATCGTGTAATCAATGTTTAAATTGATACGAGTTAACTATCGATAGTAATTGGATTTAAAGATAGCATATTATATAGGTCATATTAACGATTACAACATGTTAAGTTAAACGGGTCATAAATGGGTTATACGGGTTGAACCCCTCAACCTTAGCCCGATACAGTTAAATAAATGGGTTAATCGTGTTAACCCTGAACCAATTTTTAACTAACTCAAATTCACTTGTCTCGTGTCGTGTTCACGAACTTTACCATCCCTAAACACAAATAACTGTTGTTCCTGGCTTTTGAGCTTTTGTAGCAACCGTTAGTTTGGCTGCTTGGGGTGGGCTGTTTATTTTTGGCCTTGGGCCTTCATGGTCCTAGGCTGTTGTTTTGGGCTTTGCCCCTCTTTTAACATATACATCCGGTGTCCTGTATTTTGTTGGAAAATTATACACTACCCACAGGTAGTAGTTGTTAAATACCCTCAACCAATCACAATCTGTTATTTATCTTGATAATGAGAAATGGAATGTTGTGATTGATAATTGATGGAAGGTATTTAGTAACCGCTACCTCTAGGCACCAAATAATTTCTCCGTGTTTTAGAGTTTTTTCCTCAAGTACATAATTTCGGACTTACAACAGTTTTGATGCATTGTAACGCACTACCCAATTTGAGCACATCCTACCCGCCCAAAGGTGGCAAGACAAGATGTAATTATTGGCATTGTTTTATAAAAAGTCTTTTTTTAAATAAAAAAAAACTTACCAAAAAAAGTGTGAGAAAAATGATCTTAACCATGAACTTCATAAAATTCCTTCATGATTACTCATGAATAACTTAATTATTGCATTAAAGTTCTAATTTTGTATTCCTATCATTTTCCTTTAGCGTGTGACCTATCATGCTACCTTAATTAAATTGCAGCATCCCTTTTACGTGTGTGTGACATGGCTGTGCGCTTTTACTGCAGTTATTATTATTATTATTTTTGAGACTAAAATATCCTTTCATTTTGCAATAAATAGAGCACATAAATAGTGTATTTGGTGATGAAACCTGAACGATATTGAAGTGCTATGTATTATTCCAGAGTACTAAGAATGTGACACTCTTGGCCTTCGGTAACTAGCTAGTTATTTTTTAAATTAATAAAAAAAATATTGTGAATATCAGTTGACCTTTCAAAAAAAAAAAATGGTAAATACAGTTGGTACCAGAAGATAAAGAGATATGAATCAACTAACACACGAATCACGATGATGATGGTAATATTGTTGCGGCTTTGATGCATTGATGTGGTTTGGTTCCGTGTTTTAGGGTGGACGAAAACAATGGGAACAGTACGCGTAACTGTAAATGCAACAACGTGAGCGAGAAAAGTGGGTCCCTGCTCAATTCTCCAATGGCTGGCTGTGTGGGCAAATCATAGCCCCATTAGTCCTAGTCTGAAAATGTTAGCGCATTAAATAAACATGGGAGGGAATTAAGAGAGGTCCATCCTCGTGCGGTCACGCAAATGGTTACTGCTCGCGGTTAAATTATGAACACATGTATGTATGTATCTATATCTATATATATATATATATATAGCAGCATTTACCCCTTTTCATGAGGGTCGTGTCCTCTTTTTTATACCATCACTCTCTCATCTCTAACCACCCTTACTAACAACCATGCTTCCTCTTTCCACTTATATATATATATATAACTTCTCTATCTAACTGTTCATACGTCGATCTCCTTCCTCCTTTTCATCTATATATATATATTAATTTTATATGTGAGCATTGGCGCAGACACATCTTTTTCTGTGTTGATGATCATATGGTGTAAGTAGTTAATTCATCATAACATATAAGAACTTACGTATAGCAGATTCACTTTGCCGTGTAAAAAAGTGTATATGCATATGGAGAGTCTGTATTGTGATGAGGTGGGGCTTATGAGTCCTTATACTACTACCACCGTTGATCAACAACACAATGCGCATAATAAGCAACCTTTAGGAGTACTGGATCAGAGTTCCTTCTATACCTCAAAAGAAGATTGCGAACAAGCTTTAAGTATTTGCCTACAAAAAGAGTGCACTTACTTGCCACAGCCGGGATACTCGGACTATCTTAAGACTTACAATTTGATCATCCCAAGATTCATAGCTATTCAATGGCTTATCAAGGTAAAACTTACATATATATATATACACACACACACACACGTTGAAATATAATATATATTACATTTCAACGTAAAACTACTTGTGCCATGCATAAATTCTATGTATATAATAATTGTATACATTTTATGTATGTATATATAACTCTCTCCAGTACTCTTATCTCTTTCCCTCTCATAGTCTCAAAAGCGGTTGAATCTCTCTTTTGGAACTATCTTCAATGCTGCAAATTACCTTGATCGCTTCATCTCTATGAATCTGTGCCACGTAAGGACAGCTTAATTTACCCATTTTTTCTAATTTTTTAAATATATTTTATAATATGGTGTGTGTGTGTGTGTGTGTGTGTGTGTGTGTGTGTGTATATATATATATGTATGTATGTACGTATGTATGTAATAGCATTAATCATTGTATAGATTTAAGAAGTTCCTATTTTACGCCTAAGTTGCAGGGATGGAAGTACTGGATGTATGAATTGCTATCTGTTGCATGCTTATCTGTTGCCTCTAAGTTTGATGACACAGCCTCTCACCCGTTCCATGAACTTCAGGTGACTATTTATTATTGTGGTTGTAGTTCTTATTATTGTTATTTGAAATTGTTAATCAGTGGGCAGTTATCGCATGTGGCGATTACAACAGGAGGATCTGGACCATTCATTTGAATCGAGCATGATTCAACGGATGGAATTGTCAGTATTGAAGGCCCTAGGATGGCGACTCAGCTCTACAACTGCATACTCTTACATACAACTGCTGATATGCAACATTGACTCCCTAAAGCCTTCCCTTCTCGAGGACTTAACCACCCGAGTCACTGAACTTCTTCTCGGCACCCTTTTAGGTATAATGTATATATGCTCTGAAAATCTATATATAATATAATTCCTTATGTTTCATGGATTAGTTGATCCTGATCTGGTGTACATTAATGCCTTGTTTCCGATAAAATTAAGTCACCACATACAATATTCAAGATTGTGATATCATTTTTGAAACTGATAACTGGTATCAATTGGTTCAGATTTCAAATTCCTAGAGTTCAGGCCATGTGTTGTCGCGATATCTGCACTGCAATGCATATTTGACGAGCTACTGCCATCAACATCCGATGCCCACATTGCCTGCGTTGTCAAGCTCATTCCTCAAGAGCAAAAGGTAAAGCTTTTCATCACAATCCAACTTAGTTTGACGAATTCAACTATACACTTAATTACTGTTGTATTGATCATGCAATTCTCCAATTATTAGGATGATCTGATGAAGTGCCATAGGTACATGGAAAAGCAATTGGTTGACCCTAATTTGTACAACTTAATAGCATGCCGGTACTCCTACTACTGCCCTTCAAGTCCCGTGACTGTATTGTCGACGGATCGGGTTGAGATATATGATTGCCAAATTGATCTCTCTCGCATTAATGTCAAAGCAAGTGTGAAGAAGAGAAAGAGGGAAGAACAGTAGAGATGGTGTTATATATGAAACCATCATGATCTCGCTATTTTATTGTTAATTTGTGGTGTTGTACTAAGGCTGAGGATAGGCGAAGCCTATTAGCCTCTATTTGTGTAACAAAACAATAATCAATCTATGATTTACGTACCCAGTAAGAGTTTAGTGAGTGATTCAACACGATGCATGTTCTCTTGGTTTGTCAATACCGGCCTCATGCAGCAGCTATATGTGCCACAAATGGTATAACACGCGCTTGTTTCATGAAATCGGCATTAAGTAATGGAATGAGGATTTTAAGGAACATCAAGGGTTCTTTATGAACAACTCTCATTAGTCAAAAGTAGCTGGTTTGAGGTTTCTTGACATAATTTTCACTAAGAGAACCCAAAACCCTAATGTGAAAATGCTCAGGCAACTATTGTTTTTACTTTCCACCTAATTGCAAAGTCTTGTCTGAGCTTCTTAGGTATTGACATAGAGTCGGGAGTAAATTATCTTTGAGGTTGAGGGAAATTAATTCAATGTTTATTACTTTGACATTTTCTAAAGTTTGTCACGTGCATTCTCAATACACTTTCAAAAGTGTTAATTTTTACTCATAAAGTAATTAACAATTTTGTCTTTTCTTTACATGAAATACAACATAATATATTATTATACTTTTTTTTACATTCAAAATCATTTTTCGACTTGACTCAGGAAAAGTCAAAATAGTTCATTCGTGTATAAATTGTCCTAATATCAATAAAGATTAGTGGAATTTATCCTTAAATTAGAGAAAAAAAACTTAAGTTGAAAAATCAATGGATGGACTATCATCTAATAGTAATTCTCAAAAGTTCAAAATATTTTTTTCTGAAAGATAAAAGCTTAAAATATTTGACATGAACATAGTTTTGCCATTGAAAACCTAACAAATTGTTTTGTAGGGGCTAAATTGTACTTTCGGTTCTATCCACAACACCAATCATCTTCGATAGCATTGGACCCATCAGATTTGTGCACCACCGTTCACAAGTTGAAGGAAAGTCATGTCAAAAAGATAAGGTAAAGGTGCAAGGCAATGGGCTACAGATTGCAAGTACCAAAATACAATGGCTACCTCATCAGCCATTTCATCTTCTTTCCTTCCCTCAACACTTGTAACAGTTCATACTCAGAATAAGCAACTCTCACTTTTCCATAATCATACTCAGACTAGCAACACCTCCAAGAAGAGACTGTCTTTCAGGGTCCAGGCTGCCAAGCTTCCTGCTGGTGTATGTTTCTCAATTGCTTATGCGTGTGTGTGTGTGTGTGTGTGTGTGTGTATAGAGAGAGAGAGAGACTCGTTTTTATGCACCAATTAGCTTGAAAAAAATCAAATACAAATGGGTGGTGGTTGAAATTTTCAGGTGGAATTGCCAAAAGTGGAGCCAAAATTCAGTGCCCCTTTTCTTGGATTCACAAGGACTGCTGAAACATGGAACTCTAGAGCCTGTATGATTGGCCTCATTGGAACTTTCATTGTAGAACTGGTTAGTCTTCTTTCTTTCAATCACTTTCCTCTTATTTATTTATTTTTTATACTGGGACCAGTTATGTTTCATGATTTTAAGCTGTTGTGTTTTTTTTTGTTACGGGGCATGTGGTTTTTCAGATAATAAACAAGGGAATACTTCAAGTGATTGGAGTTGAAGTTGGAAAAGGTCTTGATCTTCCCCTCTGAGTATTGAATTTGAGTATATCTACTCTATTCAGTATGGTTTTTCATTTGGATCAAAAGTCACTCTTAATCTTTTGTAACTTAATTCTGCTTTGAATTTGTAGTTGGTGAATCTGTTGGGATTTATATGTCCTGGCATAGCAAATTCTTATCTGAATTGTAGTGACATATGTTACTGACATATCTGAAATATTTATGATTTATATAATTGGTGAATTCAATGTATTATGTTTCGATTCACTATGAAATTGATAGTGTCCATTTAATTATAAGAAATATTTATATATATGTATGTGATGACAATCAATACATGATATATAAATAGTAATTATAAATTGTTCATAGTCGGTAATTATGGATGGACTCATAATTAATTAAGACTTGAACTGGATCCGCGTTAGGTTGAGATATATTGCGAGAGCCGTTGTATGCAATTACTCCCTATCACCGTCATGCCATTTGACTCTTAAGCATGAGAAAAGTATAGACTCTTTTATTAATTAATAATTACTTTGATTTGTTCGGCGGATTCTTCGGAATCCTTAGACCGACACTTTGGATAGTTATGTAATTAATAGTTAGAGGGTTATATTTTCAATATTTGCATCATTGCTACTTGTATTTATTTTGTATTGATTATGGTTGATCACAAAGTAAATTCGAAGGCCTTCGTGTGTTTTTAGACAAAATGATTTATTATATATTTATTTATTTAAATTATTATTTTTGTCAAACAAATGTTTTATTGTGATCGAGCCAGAAATAATCAAAGGTACCAAAATAAATATATTAATTAAGTAGTCGGATTGATGGCTATATTTATCCGATAACTAATTATGCATAGAGGGGTCAAAGTGCAATATTGACTTAGAGGTTATTTATTATTTAATTGGAGTTCAATTAATTTATTTTAGTGGAGTAGAAATTAATTTATGAATTAATTGAATTGGGTCCATGGACCGGGCCAATTATTAATTCATTGTAACCAATAAAATAATAGGCCCAATGGATTCTCACTCATAGCCCAACTTGATATTGGAATCATATTAGATTTGAGACATATGAATTAGAGATGGAGAAGGATTTGTTGTTTCCTTTTCTTTATTTTTATGTTGCCTATAAATATACATGGTCTATGTATATTTTAGGGGGTGATTTTTATGAGAAGGAAAAAGGAATAAATTTTCTCTCTCTAGAAAATTAGGGTTTATGGTCTCATCTAATAGAGGCTCCCACAAGCCTAATTTTCCAAGGTAATTCATGGAGGCTTATGAGTGATTCCTAAAGGTAAAATAATTACCAAGAAGATGGAGATCCAAGGAGAAGGCATCTTGCTAAGGGATCTACAATAAGTGAGAACATTCACTTTAGAGGAAAGTTTTAAAGGTTTACTCAGACCTTTGATGTAAGTATTCAATCCATTAATTGAATGATACATCATATTTTTATTTTTGCATAAAACTTGTCTCTATGTGATGAATCAAGATCTATGAATCAAAATCCCTCGAAAAGTTTTTAAAACTTGCACGTTTCCCAACAGTGGTATCAGAGCACATGGTTTGATTCATTACTAGAGAACATGTGTTTATAAAAATCATATTCATGGATCCAAATTATATATACATATATATAATTATTGATATATGTTGATGTATGATTTATTATGTTGATATATATTAATACATGTTGATGTATGTATAATTGTGAATGGATGATGATGTGTGTTTGGGCCATGGATGAAGCTTATAGGTATATAGAATGTAATTTTATTTTTGGATGAATGTAATTAAGGTTTTGTTTTAGCCGTTTGAAAATTCAATGATGTAATTTAATTTTTTTCATTGTATTTCAAATTGTAAGTATTTATTAAAGCCATGTAATATTCATCAAAGGATGCTATGAAGCTTCAAGAGGGTCCGAAAGGGTTAAATTATGCTTCAGTAATTTTCTGGAATTTTTTCGAATTTTTCGGGAATTTTTTGAGGCTAAATTTAATTTTCTGGGATTTTTCCGGATTTTTTGGAATTTTTTCGGCGTTTTTCCGGTGGCCGGAGCTTCGCCGGCGGCGAGACGGGGCGTCGGAGGTGGCCCGAATCAGGTGTGCGTCAAGATGGTGAGCCTGGCGCGTGTTCCACACGCGCCAGGAGAGTCCACGCGCCAGCCAAGGTAGCTTGACCTCCACGCGCGTGAAGGCGCGTGGAGGCGCGTCCCACGCGCCCCAGGGGCGTAGGAGCGCGTGAGTGTGCATTCCACGCACCCCAGGCGCGTGCCGGCGCGTGGGAGCACGTGCAGCTTGCCCTAGGCGCGTGCCAGCGCGTGTGGGGTCCTCCGGGCTCGTTTCAAGCGGCGTTTTGCTTCTCCTGACGCGTACAAGCTTCCTATGGGTGTTTACAGACAGTTGAAGGATGCCCGTACAGCAAGATTAGTTTTTAAATGTTAAAAGCTGAATCCATTGGCCATTTATATTGCTTCTGTCTATTATTTGATGCATGGAATAATTTAATAGTTGTTATAATTGTTCATGCATTGGATCCATGATTTTTAATTAAATGGCTTGATTTATATTAATTAAATTATGAAGATAAATTGGATTAGATTGCTAATTAATTTGAGGGCATTTATTGGGAAACAGAAAAATTATTTTTAAAGTGTGCTTCAAATTAAGTATTAGTGAATCGTTTAAAGTCCAAATATTTTCTAAATTTAATTGGATTAAAATCAAGACGTTTTGCATGCATTATATCATGTAAATGAATAAAATGAAAACCCTAATTATGAATGATTAAAAATTGAGTGGGAGCGGGAATTTTTATACATTGCCCCATGGCCTTTGTTATTAACACCATTGTAATTAGATCTTCAAAAATAAGGCCCCACGCATGATTTGAAGAGTCTTAATATTACAAGAATGGTTGTCTCATGAAAATACAAATATTAAATGTTCATTGTAATTAGATCTTTAAAAATAAGGCCCTACGCATGATTTAAAGAGTCTAGATTATAATGACAACATATTTAATGTTTAATTTTTCGTTAGAGTTTTAATAACGTTATACACTCAATCTAAAATCAATAGTGTTAGCTTCCCAACGAAGTGGTCTATACTAGGTGATTTTAGAAAGGCTAAATTAAATCGGGAATCATTTCATATGATAGACAAGGCATTGTCTTAAGAGATATGGAAATGATGGGATTTACCCGCCAATAGCAATAATGAACTTCGCCAACCGAATAAGTTATTGGCGTATTGGTTATTCGATTTTTCATGCAGTGGTTAAGGGACCCACATATTATTATTTTAATGGAAGTGCTCGCTTAATAGCAAATGAATCTCAATAATAGTAATAATGAACTCCTCCAACAGGATAAGTTATTGACATATTGATTAGTTGATTTATTATGCTACAGAGTTGAGGGACCCGCATTAATTAAAAGGGATTGTTCACCAATAATGATAATGATCTCTTGTTCGATTGAGATTTATTGTATTATGTGGTTAACAAGCTCATTTTAATTTTAAATATGCATGACATTATTAATAGTTCACCTTGCATATTGTATGAATGCATTTATATTCAGATTAATTATGTCTACTCCAGTTTATCTGCTTGCTTACATATTCTATGATATTGGACCTTATTTATAATGACTGGAAAATGAACTTAGATATTTTATTCACAACGTAAGGGTACAAAATGTGTTTATTACTCCTATACCTATCTCTTTTACTTTGAGATACCAAATTTGACATTAATGCTTTTAATAAATTAGATAAGACAAATGATATGACTTGGTGCAATATTCTAGAGTTTAGCTCGAATATACTCCAAAGCTAACATTTGTATTATTTTATTTTCTTCAAGCATCATATTAAATGTCAATGAGATATTTTGGTGAGATTAGATAGAGCATATGCCTAAGTACTGTGTCAAATTTAAATACCATCAAGATAGCCTCATGAACTCCAGTTTGAAATCAAATTTTGGAAAATGATTGTTTATTATTTAAAAATTAGCTGGAGATCAATAAGGCTGACTTGGGTGGTAAGTTTCAAGTTGACATGATTATTGCCTTGTTACCAAACTCATTCGACTCTGTTAGAGTGAACTAAATAAGGAATCAGTTTGAGTTCACACTCGCTGATATTCTTATAGAATTGGTAACAGATGAAGGGATAATCAAGAGTATGGGCGTTCCTATCAATCTAACCTAGTCTATACCATCTTCTTCTAGGCCCAAGTGGACGGGCAAAGCAAAGAAGAAGGATGATAATAGGACTAGACTAGCACAAAACATGGGTATTCAAAAAGGTTAAAGGGAATAAGGCAGTGTATGTTGAGGGCGAAGAAAACTGTTTCTTTTGTCGCTAACTAAAACACTAAAGGACGAACTGTTTAAGCAATGACGTGGCATAGGAAAATATATATTTAATCATTGAGCCATGTTATGTGGTTGTGTCTATTAATTCCTGATGGATAGATTCTGGAGCCACTAAACATGTTTGCAATTTATTGTAAGGATTTCAGGATTCCAGAAGCCTCGATGATATGGAATATATTTGTACTTAACCTGATGTCAAGGTTGTAGCTAAGTCAGTGGGAGTATTACATCTGAAAATAGAGAGTATGAGGATATTAGTATTAGAGAACTATTTTTATGCACAGAAGTTAGACGCTATCTTATTCTTGTTTCACTTGTGGTTTATAAAAACTGTGTTGTTATTTTGTAAAACTGGTTTTATAAAATTGAATAGATATGCGATTACTTCTGGTGTATTGAAAGATGGTTAATATACTATAATCACAAACTCTTAAGATTTGCAGGATGTAGAAATGTTGCATCTTCTAGATTGAATGTTAAGAGAAAATTGTATTTTTAATGTCTATTTTTGGGTTGTTATCAATCAAAATAAGATTCAAAGATTGGTCAAAGAACGTTAATTACCTAGTGAGGCAGGGGAGCCTAAACCAAACTTGTGAACCCTGTTTTGAAGGATAGATAACTCTTAGGGCTTAATCAGCCAGATGAAATAGACATAAAGGACAATTGGAGTCGGTACACACTGACATGTGTGGTCTTATGAACATCCAAGCAAGATTACTCACGTTTTGGATAAGTTTATCTGATGCAACACAAGTCTTAAACTCTTGGTATTTTCTGAGAAGGTTAAGACTGATGTGGAACACATATTAGGTAAACTTGTCAAGATACTTCGATCTGATCGAGGATATGAGTATTTCTTGGGATAGTGCAAAGACTATATGGTCAATGAGGGTATTATGTACCAGTTTTCCGCAATTGACGCTAAATGTATTTAGGTGTCAAATAGGAATAACAGAATTCCACTTAACGTGGGTAGATCTATGATCAGCTATGCTACATTATCTCTTTCATTTAAGAGTTTAGCGTTAATGACATCGATGCGCATTATGAACTGCATTCCATCTTAGTCTGTCTCAAGGATACCGTTGAGCTGTGTTTTTTTACTAAATATTAGTTTGAATCATATGCACATATGGGGTAGTCTTGCACATGTGCGCTTGATATGGACAAGTAAGTTGGAAGCAGATCATAGGCATGCTAGATTTGATAGCTACTCTAAATGTCACTAGGATGGATTATTTTATAATCTCAAAGATAAAAGTTAATTGTTTTCACTCACTGTTTATCTATAGGAGAATCATATTATGAATCACATACCTAGTAGCATAATGTTAGAGAATTTGGTATGAGTACCAGATGTACCACATGTGAACACACTTATTATAGAGATTGAGAATAATATATGAATTCCCTATTGATGCGTTAGAATCATCTACTACACAGATTCTTGCATCGGTACATTGATGTAGTGGGAGGATTATCATCCAATTCGACAGAATCATGTTTTTAGGTGAGACCATTATGGACATCCCTGTTAAACATGAGTTGGACCCAGTAAGCTACACGGAAGCGTGAACCGATGTGGATACAGATCGTTTTGGTGAGTTACTATGAAATCAGAGTTGGAATCGATGTATTCTAATAAATTCTGGGATCTTGTAGAACTTTCTAGTAGGGTGATTCCTATGGAAGGCAAGTTAATCTACAAAAAGATACCAGAAGATTTCTTAGTGAATAAATCATGAGTGTGCAAGGGAATGTCATTATTTTTATAATTCTATATATATTGATGACATCCTACTCATTTAGGATGATGTGGAAGTTGTGTCATCAATAAAAAGGTAGTTGTTCAATTACTTTTAAATGAATGATTTTTAAGATGTAAGCTATATTCCTAGGATCAAGCTTTTGCAAGATCAGGTTAAAAGGAAAATAGGTTTATCTTAATAATCCTACATTGATAAAGTTTTGACCAAGTTTGGTATGCATAACTCAAAGAATGAGTTCTTGCTTTATTGATATGGATGGCTCTCTCTAGTAAGTAGTTTTTCAAGACTATCAAAGGAGATTGAGCAAATGAGACTGGAACAATATGTTTCGGCATATGAGAGTCTCATATATGCCATGGTCTATACCAAACAGGACATCCGCTACATAGTAGGGATAGTCAGTAGAGATCAGTCCAATACTGGACTTGACAACTGGTCTATTGTGAAAAATATCATTAAGTACCTAAGGAGAACCAATGATATCATATTCATTTATGGATGTGATGATATGGTCCTAGTCAGGTATGCTAGTTCTGATTTTCAATCAGAAGTAGATACTATGAGGTTCATGACTCAGTGTAAGTTCACTTAATGGAAGGGAGATCAGTTGGTAGATTGTTAAGCAGATTTCAACTGCTGACTCAAACCTGTAGGTGGAATATATTGCAGCCTTAAAGGCGGCAAAGGAAGCCTATTAGTTTGATCTCACTGATTTAGAGGTTGTGGAGTATACTAGCCTGCCTATTGAGCTATGTTGTGACAATAGTGCAGAAGTAGTCCAAACCAATGACCCAAGGTTCCATAGAGGAACAAGATACACTGAGAGGAAGTATCATGTTCTACATGATATTGTCCGGCAAGAAAATGCACTTGTAGTTAGAACATTGCATTGGAACACAACTTTGTTGATCCATTATCAAAGGTGTCATTGATCAATAATTTTGATCATCATCTGGATAACATTGGAGTTAGGTGCAATTTGAATTGGCTATGAGGGCAAGTGGGAGCTGTTGGGATTTATATGCCCTGGCATAGCAAATTCCTATCTGGATTGTAGTGACATATGTTCCTGACATATCTGAAATATTTATGATTTATATAATTGGTGAATTCAATGTATTATGTTTCGATTCACTATGAAATTGATAGTGTCCATTTAATTACAAGAAATATTTATATATATGTATGTGATGACAATCAATGCATGATATATAAATAGTAATTATAAATTGTTCATAGTCGGTAATTATGGATGGACTCATAATTAATTAAGACTTGAACTGGATCCGCGTTAGGTTGAGATATATTGCGAGAGCCGTCGTATGCAATTACTCCCTATCACCGTCATGACATTTGACTCTTAAGCATGAGAAAAGTATAGACTCTTTTATTAATTAATAATTACTTTGATTTGTTCGGCGGATTCTTCGGGATCCTTAGACCGACACTTTGGATAGTTATGTAATTAATAGTTAGAGGGTTATATTTTCAATATTTGCATCATTGCTACTTGTATTTATTTTGTATTGATTATGGTTGATCACAAAGTAAATTCGAAGGCCTTCGTGTGTTTTTAGACAAAATGATTTATTATATATTTATTTATTTAAATTATTATTTTTGTCAAACAAATGTTTTATTGTGATCGAGCCAGAAATAATCAAAGGTACCAAAATAAATATATTAATTAAGTAGTCGGATTGATGGCTATATTTATCCGATAACTAATTATGCATAGAGGGGTCAAAGTGCAATATTGACTTAGAGGTTATTTATTATTTAATTGGAGTTCAATTAATTTCTTTTAGTGGAGTAGAAATTAATTTATGAATTAATTGAATTGGGTCCATGGACCGGGCCAATTATTAATTCATTGTAGCCAATAAAATAATAGGCCCAATGGATTCTCACTCATAGCCCAACTTGATATTGGAATCATATTAGATTTGAGACATATGAATTAGAGATGAAGAAGGATTTGTTGTTTCCTTTTCTTTATTTTTATGTTGCCTATAAATATACATGGTCTATGTATATTTTAGGGGGTGATTTTTATGAGAAGGAAAAAGGAATAAATTTTCTCTCTCTAGAAAATTAGGATTTATGGTCTCATCTAATAGAGGCTCCCACAAGCCTAGTTTTCCAAGGTAATTCATGGAGGCTTATAAGTGATTCCTAAAGGCAAAATAATTACCAAGAAGATGGAGATCCAAGGAGAAGGCATCTTGCTAAGGGATCTACAATAAGTGAGAACATTCACTTTAGAGGAAAGTTTTAAAGGTTTACTCAGACCTTTGATGTAAGTATTCAATCCATTAATTGAATGATACATCATATTTTTATTTTTGCATAAAACTTGTCTCTATGTGATGAATCAAGATCTATGAATCAAAATCCCTCGAAAAGTTTTTAAAACTTGCACGTTTCCCAACAGAATCCACCTCCTCTAAACCTGTAAAATAAAAAAAATTGCAGCACTTCTGTGTTGTTTGTTTCTCCATTCACGGATTTCTTTTGCACACACTTCTTTGGGAGTCCTTTATTAATGAAATCAGTATTGCAAAATTAAACAGAAAACGCAGCATAAGGCACAAGAAATAAATAAAATGACCATTTGACCCTTTGACTAGTCAACAATCATCGATGAGGAAGTGCAATAACCAGGGGCAAATATGACATAAATCTCAAGACAAATATGACATTTTGTGAATTAATTGAATTAAATAATCAGAGACAAATATGACATCTGAAATCTCATAGGTGTCTTTGTCTAAAAAAAACCATTGACCGCGCATCTAAATGACATTGATCAAAATCTCAAAAAATGTGCAATTTTCCCTTTTATTTTAGAAGATGCAACACTAGATTTGGGGTTCTGAAGGCTATTGCTTTTGCATCAAGTGCAAAAGCGTTTTGTGGCTTACCACTTCAAAAATGACCAAAGAATCAAAACCTGTAAATTATTGAGTAACAGATATTATCCCCTTTTTAAATGCCGGTGACTATACAATACTCATCAACCGCAAACCACTTCCATCATTCAACCTCAGCCACTACCCTTGAAAATTGCAAAACAGGACAGTAATCGACGCTGTCTTCTCAAGACAGTGTCAAAACCCATCATCAATAAATACTAACAGCTGCAAAACCTGGAATTTTATTCTCTATATTTCCAGATTATACACGATGAACTGTCCAACAAAATATACAAATACACATGCCTCAGCTGATCTTGTAGATAACTATGCCATGTACGACCTTTATGAAACAGACACCAGATATAAACGTTGATTGAAGAACACTACAGTTCCTCACTTTGCTTCACCAAGGAATGTAATACCGATGCAGAACCATTGGATCACCGATGCAGAATCTAGAAAAAGAACTACAGGACCCTGCCAATTCTAACATCAATAACTGGCACTTTGGTTGAAGACTCGGATATATCCAGTGCCTCAGCAAGTGACAGCCGCTGATTTTTCCATGCAGATTCTGCCCAGCTCTTCATTCTCTCTCCTTCATCTTTTCTGTACTGCTGAACACGCAGTACTTCTCCATACCCACCTGTGCAACGAATAAAACGTATCAAACGAGAAATCCTGTTGAAAGGCCATTACAGTTATTCACAACAAGACCAAATGAATCCACACCCAGCACATAGCATGCATGTTAAACACTTTTAACATATATGGAACTGTGTGATGTGTGTATACGACTATAAATATAAGACTGCTCATGGACCTTCATCACATTTCTGGATTCTTCATCCCATGCAATACACATGACAAGCGCATCATTTGGTAGAAGAAACAAAGCTATCAACCTACTGAAGAGGATTTTGAATGACTTGACCATCTTATAATTGTAAAATTCCGGGCAAAAAGCATCGTCTTAACTGATAAATGCATTTGGTAATTTGGAAAAGAAAAAAAAAACACAAACCAGAAAATGTTCAGGTATGCCACATTGATGTGACAACCACCACCAACAGGATAGGTAACAATAACCCTTCAAAAACCCAAAGCTAACTTTGATCACATTCAATCACTGTTATAATATACCCATATAGATAAACACTAATTAAAAGGATGTGGATGTTAAACTATACCTCTTGCAAGGGCCATTATATCCCTTCGACATTCTGTTGCTTCAGCACCTATGAATCAAATATTTCTCAACTTTGTCTCATATGCCCAGGAAAAAAAACCAAAAAAAACCAAAAGTCACTTTGCCGTTACCTATACCTTCAGTCTCCAATGGTGGAGCTTTTAGCAGATCTATTGCTCTTCTGTAAAGTCCCTGTTGATGCATTTAGAAAAGAAAAAACATTAAGAAAGAAGACATCCTTAAATAAACTATCATATACCCTATAACACTTACCAAATCAGTAACCAAAACAGGAAGTGTTAGATCAATGGAAGAGAGTAGATAATCAACTGAATCTCATCAGACGACTTCAATGGAAATAGTGATGTGTAACGGTGTGTGTGTGAGTCACTCTTCCATCAGTCTGCTAATTTCATTATCTAAGTTATATTTTCCTTTACGATGTTTATGCATGTACTAAAATCTGTATTAAATTTATGTTCCTTATCCAGTACATCAGAAAGATTGTTTTGGTCAATTCATTTTCTTCTTACTGGATGAGATCTACTTCATCAAAATCACCAAATCAATTTCCCCCAAAACACATCCAATTTCAATGACCAAGAGTAAATGAAGCCATAGCAAGAATTGAGAAGTTAGACAAAATTTGATGTGTAGCATCTAACCTCTTGAATTAAAAGGGAACTCGATTGCTCCATTGTTGATTTATGCCGAAACATGAGAGCTATGCAGATTAGAACAACCCCAACCTTGGGATGATGAGGGCCTACATCAAATCAATAAGACACAGTATATACCAAATATATCTTTCCATGCATAAGACTTCAAGTTATTAAATTAAAGCTAAAGTTACACACCCAAATGACCTTCTGCTTTCGTTAGTGCCCTAGTTAGTATATCCTCTGCATCATTGAAGTTCCTAAAACAACAAAAGTGAATCAAATTCCAAAAAAAAAAAAAAAAGTGAAAACTGATGGAGTAAAAGGATCACAACAGATAACAAAAGCTTCGACAAGCTATACAAGAAATATCTAGCTTACCCTAAGTGTGCCTCAAGTTGTCCTAAAGCACAAGTAGTTGCCAAGAAAACTTCCTCCAGGTCCATATTACAAGCTGCTAAGTTATATGGATTACTGAAATCCTTAAACTCAGGCATCCCTTCTATTACCTTCTCGTATAACTCCTTTGCAATTGTAAAATTCCGAGTAGCATGCAGGAATTCACCATATGACAGAGCAGCATTGCCTATATACCAGAAAATCAATATATTGTAGAACAATGCCTTCCACAATGACCAATAGAAATGAACCCACCAGAGGAGCCTTTGTTGTCCTCAGCCTTTTCAAATAAGAACTTTGCTGCATATGAAGAATTCAATCTTATATTATTTGTAAAAACAAAAACCAGAACTAGACAAGGGAACAAAGGGTCCTAAGAAGCACGGATACAGACATAGAACATGGCCACGATACAGATACGCCAACACGTCAAATTCTAAAAAGGTAGGAAAGGGACACGGCTAATGTAAATATAAAATTTCATTTATGTATCTATTGAATGCAACAATCATAGAAATTTAATGACAGTAATTTATAAATTTTATACTACTAAAGTTACACAAGTTAGAAGATATAAAATAGATTTTGTTATATTATATATGATATTAATATCCTATGTTGTCATTATAGTTATGTTTTTATTCCTTAGAGGTTGACCACTTCAATGTATGTTCAAAATGTTATTTTGTGTGTTTGTTTATATAAGACTAAGAGTGTAGGATGTAGGTCAAGTGTCCGAGATGTGTCGGCCAAGTGTCTAAAATAATAAAAAATATTTTTAAATAATAAACACAGTCGAAGTGTTGGAGACGTGTCTAGGAATGTCGGTGTCCAACACGGACACATCACCGTATAGAAGTGTCTGTGCTTCTTAGGGTCAACAAGTGTTTTGGTTATACCTGATGAAACATGACCACCAACAAGCTCAACTAGCCCTCTTAAGGCTCTAGCACGAGTGTCCAGAATCTCGAAGCCACACCCACCACCAATTTCTAGTTTGATAGCACCCAAGATTTGCAAGCATAAAGCTGCTACTACAGCTGAAGCATCATCCTACGCGGAGAACCATTTCCAGATAAATTGATATAATAAATCAAAAATAAATTTAAAACAAACACAGACAATATTTATGGGGAATATACCTGTCCCAACTCTAAATGGAGTCCCACGAGAGCTTCGCTAGCAGCAACTGTGACAAGGATCAAATATAACCATCTGAAACCCATTTTATTATCCAAATTCACCAGATTTTTTTTTTTTTTTTAATTGTAATAACAGAAAGAAAATGAACATACTAATTTTTACCTCTAACAGGCATAGAAGATTTGGTTAAGTCTGGAATGCGCTTGAGTTTCTCCATGGCTTCATCAAATTTACCTCTGAGAAAAAACCAATTATGACTGTTGTCTCAAAAAGTTCAAACAGAAGAAAATTCCAACCAAAAAAAAAAAAAACCTTTCATATAACAAGGTGGACATGGCGAGTAGAACCATTCCCTTTGAATTATCGTCACGTTGAGTAGTGAGGCACTGTTCAAGTACCAGCGAAGCTTGTGCATATGCTTCATCTACACATGGACTATCTACAATTTCAATTAGTGAATAAACTACAAAGAGAGGGAAATTGAGAAATTGAATTGCGTAACAAACATGTATGTGTGTATATGAGAGAGAGAATGGGAGAAACCTGACTTTCCGGATCTGGCAAGAGAGAGAGCGTAATTAATCATCTGTAGAGCAACTGGATTGACCTTGGGACCGTTATTTGTACAGAGAAATCTGAAGGGTGGTGATAACTGAGAGAGAGGTTGTCCATGTCTATGAAAGACGAGTCGGCCAACCATGGAGGTTCTAGCAGCGACAGTCGTAGCCCTAAACAACCTACCTGCTACGCCAATCATCGCCTCTTTTGATGTTTCTTCTTCTTCCTCTCCCTCTTTTGGAACAAAGCAAAACCCTAAATCAATTCTAGGGTTTTGGGCGCACAAAATTGCAAGAGGAATTTAAACACCTTTTTTTAATGCTACCAAACAGAGCACTTGTCAGTTGTCACCGTTTGCCTTGCATTTAAGATTAAAAAGATACAAGTGGAAAATGAGAAAAAAGCGACAAAAAAACAGAAAATAGCATGATGTAATGCATATGTGTCGTTATGGTATGAGCGACAGGTGGAGTAAAAATGAAAAAAAAGGGAGTTGTTCAAAAAAATCATTCAGTAACCCTATTATTTTCTATAATAATAACATAATTAGGCAGTTTATATACAATTATTCTTTTGTTGAATTTAAGATGAATGAAACTAATTAGTAAGTATGAAACAATTACTCCCCAAGATATATATAACACACATCAAATATCTTTTAAAATAGGGTAAATTACACCGACACTCCCTGGTTAAAATAGGATAAATTACACCGACACTCCTTGTGGTTAGGTCATTTTTCACCTAGATGGAGATTTTGGTTTTAACTTTTACTTACACCCCAAATTACTTTTTGTGCTCTAACACATGTGAAATGACTTATTTACCCCCACTTGTTTGAATATAATTTAATATAAAATATCTATAACATTAATTTCCAAAAATAGCCCTACAACAAAACCCAACTAATCAGACTCTCTTTCTCCTCTCTCTCAATTAAAAGTCATCTGCTTAATCCACTACACAGTAATAAAATCGTCATGGATTGCAGCTATTATAGTGCCACCTCAAAACCGCCACCACCATCCCTATGGCAAGTGAAAAAATTCATAAATAAGTTCCTAATCTAATGTATAACACCATGTACACAGATATTTGGATCAATATGGATTGCCATTGAGTAAGGTGGGATATGGGGTTGTATGGTTGTTGACTAGAGGTGGCGGTAGCGGGGCGAGGTGGAGAGGGGGTTGTAGTCGAAGACTGAGCAGGTGGCGCCAGATGCTGGCATTGACGGCGAGGATTTACGCCATGGTGAGAACTGTGGCGGTACCGGCTTGGAGCTCCGTCGTGATGGTGGTGTTCCGTCGGCCATTGCGCGTCACCTTAACGCATCACCATTTCAACAAGAATCACCATCGGAGTAGCAGCAGACAGACGTCCACCATCACTAACGACTTTTTCTCTTAGACCATGGTGGAGTGTCAGATCTACTTGCACCAACACTAAGGGCGCGTTTCTTCACGCGTCGCCGATGGAGCTGTAAATTATGGTCTCGCTCTGGTCAAATCCTGAAGTGCCGGTGCTCTCTCTATCTCATAGTGCCAACGTAGTTGTGGTTTCTCATAGTGTCGCCACCGTCGTGAACCTCCACAAGCCGCCGTCGCGCCGCTTCCTAAACCTTGCTGTCGTCTCAGCTGTGAACCACCTTTCTTCTTCCGCCGCTGAGTCAGTGTCGCCACCGCAACCGCCGTTCCGATAGATGAAACAGAGGATCAGGAGTTTTAATTGGTATCGAAATCTCACCGCAGTACCAGTGGCCACACTCGGCTCGGGCAGGAACGATGAAGGCAGGCGTCGAAACAAATTGAACAACAGTCGTCGGAAGGAGGAGTGTTGGAGTCTCTGTAACTAGGATAAGGTTTGGATCGGAACTTATCATTCTTTCACCTCATTGTTTCTCTCACTAGATCATCCCTTCTCAGTCTCCACCCCACTCAATTCATCCACCACCTCGCTCTTTCTCTCTCTAAAAATGAAATTTTTATAATTAGGAATAAGAACGAAATAAAGGATCTGATAAACCCATCACAATTTTAGTTTGGCTCATTTGGCTATTTTGTGTGTGTGTGTATACATCTATATACATATATGTGTATAATTTTGTATATATATATATATATAATAAGTTTGGTTGTTTCCTATATCTATATAGATTGGGGACGATGATGGTATAACGAAGAGGAGGAAGAGGAAGTAGAAATTGTATGTGGGGGTAGTTTGGTCACAAAAATAGTAAATGGAATATCAAAGGACAACATAGTCATTTAACAGTTCAAAAGTATTATAACCCGCCAAAAATTGACAATTGGGGTCTAAGTGAAATGTAAAATCACTAATTCAAATATAAGTGAAATCTAAAACCAAAATGTTAATCTAGCTGTAAAATAACCTAACCTTAGGGGGTCTTAGTGTAATTTACCCTTTAAAATATTTTCAAAATATAATTTTATTTTGAGATGTTCGATTTTTTGAAAGACACTATTTAAAATGTTATATTATTATTTAAAGTGTTTGTTATATCAGAATTCAGGAGTGACTTATATCTTTTGCATTATATCTTTATAGAATTAAAATATTATATAAAATATTTATCCGGAAAAAAAAATTCAAACCAAAAATTATCATTTATTTATTGTCATTTTTTTACTCTGCTTAGAACATTAGGCATACCAATGTCCTTATCCGTTTAGGAGGAAATGAAAACAAACATTTTTTTTTTTTAAAATCTACAAATTTAAGACTTGATATATATTTGCTACAATGTGTCTCTCGTATCGTCCGATACGCGACGTATCGATCGATACGCGATCCTTTTTCAAGTCCGATATGTGATTCGTATCGACTAATTTACGCTGACTTTGTCAAAATTCATTACATCGCGACCCTAACCGATACTGCGAACCATAATTTTAAGTCACTACTCATTAAGTAATTCATGTAACATTTGGACGCCTGTCGTCAGTCTATCACACATTACAAACACATCATTTTGCTAATAGTTATACAAGATTAATTGATCAAACACTTCAACAATGCCAACCTTGTTAAAGGAAATGTGAAATACTTATATTTGGTGGTACTATCTCTACATCGTATGAGATTTTTTGGGATAAAACACAAGAACAAAGTTAAGCGGACTACTAACGGGTTAGTGGCCTAACGGTATCAGCCTCTTACTTCTCAAAGAGAGATCAGGGGTTCAAGTTTCAGAAGAGACATGTGCGTTTGAGTTACTAACTAAAAAAAAAAAAAAAAAAGTTAAGCGGATTCAGGCTCAAAACAGACAATATAATACCATGTGGTAGAATGAGTCATTACACGTTTTGGTAGAACGAGTCATTACACATTTTTTATCAAATCCTCAATCCAAAACCATATATATATATATATATATAGTAAAGCACACGCACGTTATATTATATATTTCTTTCTTTAATTAGATTTTTTATTTATTTTTTAATTCCACTACTTCAGTTTTAAAACATTATATATTTTATTTTCTAGTTAGATTTTTTACTACTATATTATTATTATTATTATTAGTATTTCTTAATACTATATTATTAAATAAGTTTTTTAATATTATATATTACATTATCTAATTAGATTTTCATTTATTAAATTTCAATATTTCATAGTACTATATTACAATATTTCATTATCTAATTAGATTTCATTTTATTAAATTTCAGTATTTTCTATTATTATATTATTATTATTAATATTTATTTTGATTATAAAATAATATAATTAAGCATGATAATATACTAAGGGTTTGTTTGGATACATAAAGAAAAGAAAAGAACAGATTATAAGATAAAAGAAAATAAAATAAAAGAAAGGAAATGATAGCTCTAATTTATACTCATATTTGGATAGATAGGAGAGAAAAGAAAGGAATTGACAATATTGTTATTTGGATAACACAAAGGAGAGAAAATAAAGGAATTGATAATAATGAGATTACCATCTTACTATTAGAGAAAAAACAAGAGTTGGGTGAGAGAAAATCATACACTACTATATATGTGTATATATATTTATAGAGACAGAGAGTCATAAACAGAGAAAGATATTACCACACAATAGGAATTGTTTCTCTGTTTTGATCTCATCTTCACCGAGCTACATAGCTCGATTTGGTATTAAATTGGACTTGTTTTTGACTTTCTGGCCAAAGTTGACTCAAGATAGGAATGAGTTTCGTTGTAGTTTAGTTATTAATTTAGTTAAACAAAAGAAGTAAACATTGTCTTGGAAGAGCAGAGGAGTAGATTCAACTTCAAGGACTATTTTATCTCAAAAATTGACTATTTTTCTTTGTTTTGGATGCTTCTGTGCTGGGATGCTCTTCACTGACAGGTATTTTTTTCCCCTTCTTCTGGCTCATTGATTGTTCAATTTGATGACATGAGTGTCTTAAATTTCCCAAATTTTGTTATTTTTTAAGGAATTCTAAATGGGTTTTGGTTTTGGTGGTCACCCGAAACTCCCTCAAAAACCTTAGCCCTCATCTAATCTCTCCCCTCTGTTCAACCCCATCACCACCGCGAGCCACACCCTCTCTATTTCTCTGTATTTTCTGGCGCCATCTCAGGCCGCCGCGCCTTCAGCAACTCTAGCGAGCTCTTGGCCTCATCGGCTGAGCCTCCTTCTCCATCGCGGGTCTCGTTCTCCATCTCGGTTTCTCTTTTCTCAAGTCGTTTTACGGCTAAGGAGAACTCGCCACTGCAAGTGCCGATGATCTCAGCAACTTCCGGCTACTTTTTCGACGATCTTTGCAACTTCCGGCGACTTCGTGGGAGGGATACTTTAGGAATTGGCTCATTTTCTCTCCAAATCCCTCTAAATCTTGTCAATTTTGGAGGGATTCCAAATGAGGGATTTGGAGGGATAGCTATCCCTCCAAATCATTTCTTTCCCCTTCAAATTATCCCATCCAAACACAACACTCTTTATCATTTCTTTTATTTTGTTTACAAATCCCCCCAACTCTTCTCATCCAAACGAAGCCTAAAACTCTTTCTACTTTTAATAATAATATAGATATATATTATTGCCAGCCCACCACTTCTACCACCATCATCGTCACACATGACAATCCAAATTAAACACATGACATGAGCATAATCAAACTACGAGGATCCCAAATTAAACCTAATTCACACACACATATATATCGTATGGTCCGTATCTCTCAATCCCCCAATTCATATGTACCTCTCAAATTCCCAATCCAAAATCACACACACACACACAGGTTTTGCTCTCTATATCATCTTTTGTGGCAGTGGAATGCCAGGTCAATTTCTTGAAATTGATATGATTAAGCAGTGAAG